GGCAGGATTCAGGGGGAGGTGATTTATATCTGCCCATTTGTTGATTCTATCCAAATCATTCTGGAGGAGGGCACAGTCTGATGTTGAGCGAATAACTCTCCAGATTTTTGCGTCATCTGCAAAAATTTGCATCGAGGATTGAATATTATCCGGGAGGTCGTTAATGTAGACCAGAAAAAGGAGGGGACCAAGGACGGATCCTTGAGGAACACCGCTGGAGATGCAGAGGGTTTCCGAGAGGGCATCGGCGACTCTGATCTTGATCGTTCTGTCATGCAAATATGCTGCTAGCCAGGTGAGTAGGGAACCATGGATACCGTAGGCACGAAGCTTATGAAGCAGAGCTAAGTGATTGACTCTGTCGAATGCCTTCGAAAAGTCTAGGTAAATCACATCAAGGGGGATCCTTCATCAAGCGCTTTGGTCCCTGAATCCCGAGCAAGAAGCAGATTTGTGAGGCAAGATCGTTTGCGCCTAAAGCCGTGTTGGAGGTGAGAAATTAGCTTCAGACTCTCAAAATATCGTGTAATTTCATCTGCAACTAACGATTCCATTACTTTTGATAACACAGGGAGGAGAGTAATGGGTCGGTAGTTGGCAGGATCCGATCGCTTACCTCCTTTGTATATCGGAGTGACTATCCCGCTTTTCCACTCAGACGGAAGTGTTTGGGAATTGAGTAGACTTTGGAAAAAGCTTACGAGGTGTGCTGCTATGGTGGGAGCAAGAGTTTTAAGAAATTTGGGTCTGATCTTGTCGACTCCCGGAGCGCTATTTTCTCTTAGAGACCGTAATTTGCTAGCGACAGCTGCTGAGGTAAAAGTGACAGTTGATATGCCGACCACGTTGGGTGAATGCTGGTTTGGCAAAGCTTCTATGGCGTTTGCAGTCACTGTGCCAAACTGCAGAAGTAATGCGTCGCAGCATCCACAGCAGTAGTCGTTAGGCCGCCATCCGTCTTGAGTGGTGGTATTCCTGTTTTAACTTTCCTTCTGCTGTTCACGTACCTGTACAGCAGTTTTGTATTGTTCGTGAATTTAAGTACCATGTTTTTTTGCCATTCGTACTTATCGGCTCTAATCAGTGATGTGCAATAGTTCCTCACTATTTTGTAATTCTCCCAGGTGGCGTCGCAATTGTTCAGCGCGTATTGTCTCCAGATCTCGTCTCTGGTGCTAATCCATTTACGCGTTCTGCTTCGGATCCAGGTGTTGGTCCGGCGCGGCACTCGTAATGGTATGACTTTTGAGGCTGCTTGCGTGACACAGCTAAGTTTGTCTTTTAGTTCGTTCCACGCGTCGTCTGCCGTGCTCTGTAGATTGAGGTCCCAGTTGACGGTTGTCGCTAGGCTGTGAAGCATGGAATAGTTGGTTATAGTTCGTCGGTTTTCATGTCTGATTTCAGTAGTATTGGCGTAACACACATAGGCAAAATTCAACACTGAGTGGTCATTGTTGCCTAATGGTGGATCGTATGCAATGGTCTCAATCATCAACTCTTTTTTGGTTAGGATTAAATCTAGAAGCGATGGCTTATTTGAACCGCGGTGTCTAGTTTGTCGGTGCACGTGGTTGTACAGAGCTGCTGTATCCATAAACTCGAGAATTTTTGATTTGAAGTAAGGACCACTAGAAGTCGCTGAGACAATTGAGGGTACATTAAAATCGCCCATAATTAGACAAGGTGAGTACTTTTGAGAAACTGCATAATGAAGCGCGTTTAACGGAATGTCATCTCGGTCTGCGGTGGAGTTCGGTGGCCTGTAGACAACTGCCAACAGACAAGCATCCCACGTCTTCTTCGAAGGTTCACCACCTCGGCCATTTAGCTGCATTCGGCAAAACAAAGCGTCGGAGACAGCAAGATGACGTTCGTTAATAGCCTCACATCTCAGACAATTCCGATAGTACAGAGCAACGCCGCCACCGCGAGATGGACGATCATTGCGAATAACTGACATATCACTGATTTCGATTTCCGTGTCGAGCATGTCATTGGAGAGCCAGGTTTCAGTTACAGCTATGATATCCCAATTGATTGTGTTATGTCGATGGCGCAATTCAGGTAGCTTAGAGTTGAGCCCCTGAGCGTTTGTGTAGCAGCACTGTATCTGTTGACACATTAGGAGCTCGGTTCGTTGTGGTTGACCTGCACAGCTTGTGCCGGTCTGCGTACGTTTTTTGTCAGAGGCGTTTGCACATTTGTCTGACCTGATTTAGGAACAACCGAGTCCGGTTCGTCTGTATCTGTGGCCCCTACTTTGTTTAGGAACGGTCTTAAACGTATTTCAGGTGACCCACGTTTTCTGTTGTCGTGCCACGCTTGGACGGCCGTTGATATCATCTCAGGTGTAGCCACGGTGACTTACCAAATTTTTGGCTCGTTACCCTGATAGTTTAAGGAGGCCGTTAGACGGGTGACATCGAAAGTCACGATATTTTGTATGTTGTAGAGCTCCGTTATGTACCTCCACTCTTCTATATCGTGCTTCTGATGTTCATTTATATCGCCATGGTTAAGTTCTGGAACACCGTGGACCAGCACTACTTTCTTCGTCGCATCATGTCGTGACGCGACTGGGTCGGGTTTCCATTTTTGCCTTTCTATCCATGGTTTATCTGGGAAAATGCGGGCGCTGAGAGAGGAATTCGTTAGCTTGTGGCGTGTCAGGAGCACATCCTCCAGGTCGCGTGTGTTACCAAATGTTACTCGTAATAACCGAGGTTGTCCTAAATGCGGCGAGGATGAATTTCGGGAAATGCGCGTAAGACTAGTTGCAGGAACGTTAATTTCGAGAGCACAGCATATCTCTGCCCAGCGGTTTTGTTCTTCCACTTGCCTACCTTTTAGTGACTCGCTCGTGGGCTCTGGTACATTTGAACACATAATTGTCAGAGCGTCTTTGTTGTACACTAACTGCTTATCCTGAGAGTTGTTACTGGTGGACATTTGTCTAGGTTGACTACTCATCTTGTCCCTTGTGCAGGGAGAGCCTGCGCTGCTACATGGCTACATACGCGGAACGCCGTTTGTTGTGCTGTTTGTGGGGGTCAAATGTTGCTGTCCAACCCGTGACAGGGTTGAGCGTGCAGTTTGTGCATAGCTGTTTAAGCCTTGAGACACTTCACAAAACTTGGGAGGTCGTTCGACAGACCTGTCTTCGCTGGCGTCCATCAACACTGGTGTGCTATTTTTACCGTACTGTGTGGCTTCTTTACTAAATGGCTCTCGCCTTTTGACAGGTATGGGATTCGGGCTATTTAATACACTAATCTGCGACTCAAGTTCAGTGGGTTTTTTTACCAAGCTAGCGGGCAATTCCTTTTGTTCTATGACCGCTAGGGCTAAACTTTCACATTTCGCCATAAGCGAATTGATGGTTCTTAGAGACGTGAATGTAATGGCGCTTGTCAACATATTCTGAGCCAGCTTATAGGAGGTTCGTTACGAAACCGCAGTTCTGTATGTGTGTTCCAGAGATTCATCCCATATCGATACTAAAACCGTGACGTGTCTGAGCTATTCCTACCTGCTGGTAGGGCTAGCGAGTGCACAGATTGAGGGAACCATTGTGGATGTAGATCGCTGATCAGAAAGATTAGTTTGGTGCATCGTTATCGTCATCTGCAAAGTCAGTGACCTTCCACTGCTGAATGACCCGAGAGGATGTTCGAAATATAGGGGCAGGAAAGGAAGTAAATGACAGTGAATCCCTGTGGTTAGTGATAACTTACGGCAACTCGCTCTTGTTGGTGAAGCTTCCTACGAGGTGTCTTTCTTAAACAGTTGGTTCAGTAGACTGATCCAAGGGTGGCGACGAAAGACATCTGATTGCTGCCCAGAGAAAGTAACGGGTCGCGTCACATGACAGTTGGCAGTGAATCAAGGCGGTCCGCCGACGTCACTCATTGCTCAGCCGCTTAACTAGCTACTTCGTAAAAACAATTGTCATATTTTCAGATCGAGTGGGATTCGAGGGAGGTGTATAAAGTTACTTGCAACGGTAGCAGCTCGAGAGGCTTGTTCTGACGTTATGGTGCTTGCAGACCTGGGCAACTTGATGTCAGACCTGTCACCACCATTCCTGGTGGGTGAACCTTCCACTAGCTGCTGCTACGGATCTGCTATCAACCTTGCACTGATGATGTTACCTCGAAAGGTGATTAAATTGTTCACTAAACTTGCCCAGTTCGGCCAGCACTAAAACAACTGGAGCTGCACCGTTTTGTCAAGTTACAACAGGATAAAGTGGTCATCCGGCGTTTTGCGAATGCACGGCGAGTATCAGACTGAGTCATTCCCGAATAATCAGAGCATGGTATGTTCAAATTCCCTTACCGTCTTCTAGTCTTAGTAAAGGATATCTTCCCTAGTAATAATCCATGACAGGTGGAACAATCTTAGACAAATAGATGATCTCCAAATCGACCATTAGATCGCGTGAGTGCGTGCAATGCTTCTGCATCCTGTCCATGGAGCTAAATGCCGTAGGTCAGGTGATAATCCCATACAAGACACTATGCTGATAGGTAGATGGCCCACAACCAGATCAACGTTAGCTATATACCGCTTGCGTCGCTTGTTATTGGAGATACATAATCTTTTCAATCAGGTGCTCGATCGTTCGCTTTAAGGGAGACGCGCAAACGGCACGCCACTCCCACCCTGTTGTCTAGCTGTTGTGATAGTTTTTGAGCCTAGTTGTTGAGCGCGGTTGATCACGCATTTGTGATTGAAAATTAAATGCCGAGAGAAAGCACATTCCGTTTCGCAAATCAACGTCAACCAGCTGCACGTCAGGGAAGGACGATGAAGTCGAGAAAAATACAGGGTTTTGATGACAGAATTTCATTGCCGCAACCAGATTCCGCCACCGACACTCATGCAGTTGATGACGTGTTTCAATGAAGTGTGAAGTGTTGCTTGGCGGTGAGCATGGTAGACCTACTCACTGATTCAGAATGTATATGTACTAATAACCATCTTTGTTTCTTTTCCAGAATGAAGTCGAACAAACGGTATTGGAACCAGAAGTGAGCTCCATCGTCTTTGCAAGTTATTCAGTTTTGCACTTGCACTATCACTTGAGTGTTACATCTAGTTTACAAACACTCCTTTTGCGGGCACCGTAAAATATGCTAGGGCACGCTGTCATCTACAGTAAAGCAAGGCTTCACGCACACACAAACACACACACGCATATATATATATATATATATATATATATATATATATATATATATATATATATATATATATATATATATATATATATATATATATATATATATATATATATATATATATATATATGTAGTCACGTTTTCTACCATGCAGTCGCACTGATTCGCTTCTCTTACCTTTTTGTTGATCATTTTCCCCTATTATGCTACACGTGATTGGGCTTACATTTACTTGACTCGTATTTATGTGCTCTTCAATGTGGTCAGCTACATTTCGGATTATGCCTGTCGCCTCAACGTCTGATTCGTCTCTACGTTTCTGACGGAATTTTAGGTGAAATTAATGACCATAACACCTCACTTTGCAGTCCTACTTTAGGCCATTGCGTTAACTGGAAAGTGTGCTTCTCCAACACAATTTGCACGCGCTGTTTCGCAACTTTTATATACGTTGTTTCTCACTGAGAACTCAAACATGATTGATCGATAACGCAAAGTCGATGACCATCCGTAATGACCTTGTCAGCCAGCGCGTCGGCGTAACGTAGCACATGGAAAGCGCAGACACACTGACCGATATTCCACGCTCACTCGGCCTTTATAATTAAAATGGGGCTGACAGATGAGCACAGCGACCAAATTCTGAATAGAACAGGACATAAACCAACTTACTGGGTCAAGTAACAACACCACGCTGAATGGCAGAGATCAAATGAATGCGAATCCAAAAGGGTTCCAGAATAAGTGTGTATTTGGGCCTGGAGAAGGTGATCGCTTAATCAACTTAGGATTAAGCTGCTCACACTGTTCCAAAGGATGTGAGCAGTGTGCTAATTTATTCTAACAACAGGCACGAGAGTAGGACAGCTCTGTAGACGACTTTTGGGTTTGTACTACGTGTTTAACCACCCCCTGCCTCAAATGTAATTTATCCCAGTCCAGATTTACGACCGGGTACCGTCAGAAGCCGACAAGCAGATGAAACCTACGAGTATTGTATTGGAAAGCAAGTATGCGCCAGAGAAGCGTAGTGGCCTCTAATCAAAGAAATGGTGCACAAGTTAAATCCCCTGATCCACGGATTGTTAAGTCCCCATGCCGTTGTTTCCTCCAACTTTAGTAGAATATCAGGCCAAAATTGACCGTAATTCTCACAGTAAAGTGATACCCAAGACAACAAAAAGCAGGCACCAACTAAAATGTATGACTGATCAAAAGTCTCCGGTTTCAATAACATACTATTTCTAAGGATGGCACAACCGAAGGTCAACCCACTTCATTTGCATCTTAAAGGTCTCTTGCCGAGCCAAGGTCCCCAGGGGACCTCAGTCACATATGCAGAGATTGCGATAAACAAATCACCCAGGATGCCGACCTTGCCGTCTGTTTAGTTGTAAACACCTCTAACGCGAACAGAGAATCAAACAACAGATAATCATCACTTAGGAGAAAATCAGCACTGCCGATCTCCCGACCTTGCAGCTCGACGCAAAAGAGGGCAAAAATAACGCCCAAATTTGTGCGCATCAGTGGCACTGAATCTACCTGCTTATGAAGATCACCGGTAGGTCACATCACGAGCTTTCACTTTCAAGCCCCCTAAATCTTTTCGGAATTATTCCCTTAATTCTCTTCGCACGCACCCGGGCCTACACATTCGAACCTGCTCGACGAGCGCTATCCAGTGCACACCGCCGCACGGATCTGCTCTTTGGGTTTCACCCTTTACGACATGCATCGTGGGAGTCACATTCGCACTCTCAAAGCTGCCGCTTATTTCAATGCGGAACCCAGAAAGCAAGCGACATCCAACCATCGCTTAAAGTCCACGTGCTCTTGTTCACACGTACGACCGGACTATACGACCCGTACTGCAGTAAGCCCGGCATTTGACCTTCACCTATCCCAGACTCTGTAATCGATTAACCGCCAACACGACAGTAATTGACATTATGGAAAATAGCAGTGGGCTAGTAAACGTGGCTCCAAACGCGATTTCAACGAAGCACATATGTGGTGATGCCAAATGTAACCTTCTTGTGAAAGCAAGGGTAGCCTGCCGTTTCTGGTCCAAACCCTACCATCCCAAGTGCGGTAGTCTTTCTCAACGGCAGGTGTGAGAGCGGAATACCTAAGCAAATATCTTTTGGTTTTGTCCTACATACTTGTCCATACCATTCATCAAGTGTGTGCTAATACTTGTCCATAAATAAGACCAGTTGCTAGAAGGAGCCGAACACCGGCGAACGGTAGGTTAAATTGTCTGGAGTAGAGGATGCACCAGGAAAGAGTGGCATGCTCGAACCAAAAGATGCATGCGCGAATCGTTTCCCCAGAATCATTGGCGTCAAATTTTCTTTGCCTTCTTCACATTTCACCTTGGCAGATCGCAAGTTGAATGCAGACGGAGGGTCCTGTAGTTGAGTAGTCAATAGGACAACCACAATCGGCCCTCACTTGAAACACGCGACGGATCGGTGCACATCAGCATCTAGCCGTATCAGAAATGCAGCAGTTGAACACGAATCTCCTGCAGCCGCAGCTGCATATGGTGGTCCAACCAGAAGTAAAGTTAACCATGTGAACTCAAGTACATCGACAAATGTGCCTGTAACCCGAAAAGAACAAACAGTAGAGTTCCACATACTTCGACGACTCCCACCTCTGCTCAGGTGCTGATGCCTGAGAGCAAATTTGTGGCCTATTCTATACCGGCACACCAGAACCAATCCGTGATCACCAAAGGTGTGCCTTTATACGCCACGGTTTCAGTTGCTCACGCACAAGAAGTAACCCCTCAGTTTGTACCAGACGCCAAAACACACGGTAGCAACAACACCATATGGATGGAAATCACACCATCAACAACTCGGACTATAGCCTCTCTCAAATCGGTCATCTTTAGACAAGTCCACAAGTCACTGACAAGTGTATATTCCGATGCCTCTGAATCTATTGCAAACTTCAAAAAGGTAAGCTGTTGGACGACATAAAACAATGGAACTTCTTGTGCTGCCTAATACGCGTCCACACCGAACCGACTGATATGGTGAGCAATAAACCGCACGAAAACTGACCGCACTACGGTAAACCACGGCGCTTTCGTGTTACGCTACAATCAAGGGACGAGGTTGAGGTGGTTCACTTGTCAGTCACTCGTCTCCGAAGTACATGCAATGTTCGTATTTTCCAGACTCCCTTGGAGCGAACGCCAGCGAATAAAACAGAACCTGGATGGCCACCGCCGGCTGAAGAACGAAAGATTGGTATTTATTCAGTGTGTCCCAGAGCTTCAGGCCTTGGATGCACCCGAAGCTCAATGCCATGACTGGAAGAAGTGGTGTTACATACGTGAAGTGCTCACTCCGCAGTGTGGTCGTCAAATCAATCTCAAAGCCGCCATCAACAAACTACCAAGGATGTGGCCCCAAAGTTCTGAAAGTTGTGCTTCAGTCCAAATGCATGGCGGAAGTAACACTCGAGATGTGGCACAAGTGTCGTAACAAGCACCCACCGGAAATTCCTCTGAAGAGGTTTAACACCAGACCGCAATCGACAGAGGCAGAGCAAAATCACCGTGGTTTATCATCTACCCCAGCAAACCTTACTTTTCAGTCGTACGGATGCAGTCCACGACAGGCTTGCATAGGAACAACGACTTTCACAATAAGCACTTTAACCGAAACTGCCGCACGTGAGCTTCCTACCAGCCGACATTAAGAGGCTGAAAGCCCGATATCAGTAGTTCCCTTAAAAACAGTTATTTGCCGGACACACAAAGGTCGGCGTAAAATCTCACCTGACACCCATGCCTCAAAACACGCTTCTGACATCTGATACACTATCCTGTTTGTACGCTATTACACAAGGTCTCCTCAGCAAGTTTTCTGAGCTTCATTGTCGCCAACCGTCGACGCCCTAGGACATGAATCATGATAACCGAAACCTGGCTCAACGACGAAATCACTGATGTCGAGATCTCCTTACCAGGCATGTCCGTCATACGAAATGAGCGACCAAGTATGGGAGGAGGCGTACTACTGTACCATCGGAGTGACTTGCATTTGGGACTCATTAATAACTCAGAGACTCAATTTGCTCACTCTATTTGGTGCCGCTTGCAACTCAGACGTGGTGATATGTTTGGTGATCACCTTATACCGTCCTCCGATGTGAACTGTATGAATGGACAATCGTTTAGTTAATGCTCTGAAGACACAGCTCAACAGTCAAGTTCTCCTTGTCGGAGACTACAAGTTTCATGCTGCTGAGGTTCCGTCTACCCCGAATGAGCAGCATAAAGCAGAAATGCAAGAGCTAGTCGCCGGCCTACCACTTTATAACCACATTACCTCCATTACGAGATTCAGAACAGGGAACAAACCGACCATCTTTGACCATATGTTTACCAGTGAGGAAATTATGATCGACACAGTAACAGTGAGCAGCCCGTTGGGAGGCAGCGATCATGCGATACTGTTTTTCCAAGACGCCTGGTATACGGAGGACTCCAAGGGGGACAACAAAGAAATTCATATCTTAACTCACTATGCTATGCTTTCCGTGGTCGTCAAGGCCATTTCATGATCGTCATAGCCGACCAGGTCCGTGGCGCTGCTTGGGAGAAATTCGTCAACTATTCAGCACTGTGGTAACAAACGCATCAGAGACTTAGAAATACAGCTCACAAAAAGTAAAATCCTGTCTGAGGAGTCGGACGCGGAAACGTATGTCCTTGAGAGTCAATTTGGCAAGCATATAAAACCCATCCGAACGCTGAGGACTGGAATATAGCCAAACAAAATAGTGTCAGCCTGATTCGAGAAGATAAATTGAGACATCACCAGGAC